TCTGCCCGATTGCTTTTTGTCTGTTTGTTTTATTTTAGGGCTTTTTGGGAGGTTCTTCTTTTGGTTTCCATTATATTTATTCCTGTTCTAATCTTTATTATTTCCTTCCTTTTACTGGTTTGGGGTTTTGTTTGTTCTTTTATTTCTAGTTCCTTTAGCTGTAAGGTTAGAAAGGTGTTTTGTTTTGTTTTTTTTTTTCTATTTCTTGAAGTGGACCTGTATCTCTAAACTTCACTCTTAGAACTGCTTTTGCTGTGTCCCATAGATTTTGGACAGTTGTGTTTCCATTTTCATTTGTCTTGGTGGTATTTTTTTTTCTTTTTTTAAAATTTCTTCATTGACATATTGATTGTTTAGTAGCATGCTCTTTAGTCTCTTTGTATTTGTTTCTTTTTCTTTTAATGTTGTTCTTATAGTTGATTTCTAATTTTGTAGTGTTATGGTCAGCAAAGATACTTGATATGATTTCAGTCTTCTTAAATTTATTGAGACTTGTTTTATAGCCTGCTATGTGATCTGTCCTATAGAATATTTCATGAACACTTGAGAAGAATGTGTATTCTGCTGTATTTATTTGGAGTATTCTGTTAAGTCTGTTTGGTCTAATGTGTTGTTCAAGGACATTGTTTTTTTTATTAATTTTCTGTCTGGACATCCACTGATGCAAGTGGAGTATTAAAGTCTCCTACTATTATTGTATTTCTACTAATTTCTCTCTTTGTATCTCTTAATATCTGCTTTATGTATTTAGTTGTTCCTATGTTGGGTGAATAAATATTACAAGTGTTATATCTTGTTGAATTTTGCTCTTTATCATTATGTAATGCCCTTCTTTATTTCTTGTTGCAACCCTTTTTGTTGTTGTAGTTGTTTTTGTTTATTTATTTAGTTAGTTAGTTAGTTCAGTCTATTTGGTCTGATGTAAAAGCATTCCACCTCTGTTTTTTTCCTTTCCAGTTGCATGGAATATGTTTTCCCATTCCTTAACTTTCAGTCATTGTCTGTTTTTAGATCTGAAGTGAGGCTCTTGTAGGAAGCAATAGACTATATTTTGTTCTCCTTTGAAATAATTAAGCATTTCTATGAAGTCAAAACAATCAACTGGAATTAAGCCTGCCTTTTTAAGTAGATGTATACTCCAGGTTATCTTCTAGCTTTATCATAGTTCCTTCAAACAAGTTTTGCTTTTTTATGTTATCTTTCTCATTCTTGTGGACATTTGCATTTTCCGTCTCTGGCTAGTTAAAGATTATATAGCAAATAAATTGAAAAGAGACCAAGAAGTAAATTTTGTCATTGTGTGACTTTCAAAAAAGTTAAAAACGTGACTCACACCAATATGTAGTGAATATGTATTAAGGAGTCACTTAGCTCACTGATGAGAACTATAAGGATGGTAAGTCTGGTTCAAAGGTGTGCAGAAGAGACTGAAGTGTTTACAGTCAATGAAGCAAAAACTTGCTAATTTAAGATTGTAAAGTTAGATATAAAACTATTTAATGTCAGTGGACAATGAAACTAGGGTTATCTTTACTACCTGATGGAAATCATTTGCATCACTATTAGACATAAATTATTTGCAAATTACCAGTGTACAAATTCAAAGAGACTAGGATCTGATTGGTATTGAATTGTAAGTTAAACAGAGGTATATTACTCAGGAAAATTCACTGATTTTTTTAAGGTATAACAGACACTGATTCAGTATGACATTGATAGGACATGTAGATATTCCTTTATATTTTTTTCTTAAAAAGATTTTGACTTTTGTTCTCAATAATATTGTGGCATGGACAACTCTCTTATACTTGAGTAGGTATGTGATTTTGCCAGAGTACCACATCAGTATACCACAGACTAGATGACTTAAACAACAGAAATTTATTTTCTCACGATTCTGAAGATAGGAGGTTCTAGATCATGGTTTCAAATGGTTGAATTCCTCTGAGGCCACTCCTTACTTGCAAATAGCCTTTCCTCTATGTATAGGGATTCCTGCTATCTCTCTTTGTATGTCTTAATCTCATTTTATAAGGATATGGGCCAGATTAGATTAGGGCTCAATTTATGGCCTTGATTTCATCACCTCTTTAGGAATTATCTCCAAATACACTCACATTCTAAGGCAATGGAGGTTAGGACTTCAACAAATGAATTTTGGGGAAAAATGATTCAGTCCATAATAGTTAGTATACATTACATTTTAGTGAATTAAAATCAGTACTGTATTCACCAACTCTGGAAATTAATTATTTGCCTAGTGTCATGATGAAAAATCTGTTGTAATGTGTGTGTGTGTGTGTGTGTGTGTTTGTGTATCCAATTATAGATTATAAATAGTTGCCTTTTGTTTAAAAAAACACATTTTCCTTGAATTTTTCATTTTATTTTAACTGGGTACAACTTTAAGTTTTTAGACCTAACAAATATTGTGTTTTAAAACATTGTTATTTAAAAAAAATGTTATTAACTACTTATATGATGTACAAGTTTGAAAATGCTTTCAATGTTTTTTCATTATTATTTAAAATTTTACCAATATTGATATATTGTAGCTATGAGTAGAATAGTAACCTTTATATTTGCCAATTAGAAAATTCTGAGTAACCATAATAAAAGCCATTTCCAAAAAAAAAAAAAAAAAGAAAAAACAAAAGAAAAAATTCAGTTGATTTCAGTTGAAAAATGAATGAAAAGCAATGAGGAAACATAATAACAGGAATATATTTAAATTTTTGTTCTAGTAACAGTAAAGTAATAAGGGTCTAACTAAAAATTTAGAATTTTTTCATAATGTCCTAAAATGATTACAATTTCCTATGATCTTGGTTATATTTCCACAAAATTAAGATGAAATACTGAATCCATTGTCTGGAAGATTCATCAATCTCCTGAAACGAGTAAATAATTTCAGTCAAATTTAGTTACTTATTGTCTATTTATCTATTGGCTTCCTTACTTGAACTTTTTGTCTGATTGCCTCAGTTCTCCAATCTTAATAAAAGATTACATTAAAACTAGATAAATTCAAATATAAGAAAAAGAAACAAAACCAATACCCACAATTACTGAGTGTTTGGCTAATTAATTGATTATTTAATGAGACCTTTGTGCTTCAAACTTGGATGGTTGTTAACAAGACCTATTGTTTCAGTAGCAGAGAATCTTTCTTTAATGATAAAGAGTTGGAAAAAGGTGTGAGTGCTGTCAAAAAGCTCTTTTGTCTGAAATTGCAATTGCATAGACTACACAAACTGCATGCCTAGCATGAAGGATAGACCATTGAATGGGCTCTGGCACATACTTTATCTGAACACAAGGTATTTAAAATGACATTTGAAACAGTGGGTTCTGTGCTGTAGTTCATATAATAATGTAAAAAGAATTTTAAAAAAGCATGCATTTGCAGATTTCTGGAGACAGAGAAATAGTTCAGCTTTTTAAAAATCCTCGTTGCTGAGCTGGCTGAAAAAAGTCGCATGTAGTTTGTGGAACATTTAAATGGTTATGTTTCCATAAAGACTGTGCAATTCAGGAATAAAACTGTAATCGATAGCTTGAAAACGTGTGTCCAATGAATTGCAATATCCACTTTCTGCTTGTTCTTGTAAGGCATGATAGAAATTCCCACAAACTTGTTACTTTCTATACTGGCTTTGACAATATACCATTAAGAGTGATAATAATGACACATGCATCTATGTTAGTCTTTCTGTTGAAAGGATATCATTCACTGAAGCCGCAGGTTACTAAAGAAGTATTTTGAAGCAGAGTAGGAAGAATGTTTAGGTTCAGATTATAGAAAGAAACTGCTTGGTGAATGAATCATAGATCCATAGTAAGTTTGAACAAGGAGGTATCAAAGGATAATTTCCAATAGATAAAAACATGATTGTCATAAAATTCAAGAATAAGTATGAACCAGAAATTTATTTATGAATTATTGAGGAAACAAGCCCAGTATTGAAGATCTAAGAGCATTAGTGGAATTAGATATTTGCAGACATTTTAAAGAAAAAGAATATATAAATAAAATTTATAAGAAAGAATAAAAATGGTTAATGCCTCACAGGACAGTATGACCATAGCCTTTGGAGTTATCTTTTCTACCAGATAAATATCTACAAATCAGCATGAAATTCCACCATGGTATAGGTCTGATCAAATAGAAGATATTCAAGTCAAACACAGATACATTCTCCTACAGCTGCTCTTTTCATTGTAACCACTAACTATATCTTTTAAATTTAAATCTGAGATCATTAAAATGAAATCAGTACAGATTTGGTTTCCCATTCACACTAGTCACATTTTAAGTGTTCAACTAGATACATTTGGCTAATGGATACTTGATTAGACAACACGGATGTAGAATGTTTCCTTCATCAGAGAAGGTACTATTAAAAATACTCTTGAGAGAATTAATCTTTGAGCAGGCCTGTTTTATAATGCCTGTGTATGCCACTGAAAAACATATCACCCCTCTTTTTGCTTTCAATATTTTTTTAAACAAAGAGATTTTACAAATCTCTTTTCCACCCCTCCTTTTTTTTTTTTAATGGAAGAGAATCTGAAAATATGGGTTCACCCTTAGATTTATTACTACTAAAGAGTTTAGCTGTCATTGAACCATTGTGTTGAATAAACTATTTTGTATAAATGGAGGACATAGGACAAAGATTTTATTGTAAATGCGTGTATTTTAAGATTTAGAAATTCTTTACCCATATCCCTAGATCATTCTTACTCCTATATAACAAGAAGAAAGGTATCAAAGGTAGTCATTACTTTACAGAATAATTAAATCACTTATTTTGTGATTTTCCTATTTGGTATAGCAAAAAATTATCTTTGCAGGGTTTTTTTGTTTGTTTTAATCATAAAACTGCCTTTCCTTTTGAAATGTCTTCTGTGATGGTCTGGACAGATTTCTGTACTCTTTGGCTTATGATACAAAATTTGTACCTGTAATGCAATGATTTTGTATGTGTGTTTTTCAGATGTGCAACAAATGGCGATTGACTGGCTTACCAGAAATCTCTATTTCGTGGACCATGTCAGTGACCGGATCTTTGTTTGTAATTACAATGGGACTGTATGTGTCACCCTGATTGACCTGGAGCTTCATAATCCTAAGGCAATAGCAGTAGATCCAATAGCAGGGTAAGAAGTTTTTTTTTTTTTTTCTTTATTATAGTGTTTGATCTGAAATAGTTACCAATTAAAAATTAAAAAAAAAAAGATCAATGTCTTACAGGAGTTGTGGAATAGAAGATCATTGGTTCAAAATATTTTTGAATGTCAGTTTCAACATCTGCATTGCAAGGAGGAGAAAAGGGTTACAATTTACCATGCAGAACCTGGGGAATACCAATTCCTTAGCCCATTAATATTGCTGGTCTAATCTGAGGTAAAAACAACCTGTTACCCTCTTAAGAACTGCTTTGGGGTCATCAGACAAGAACATCAGGATAGTTTTAGGTTAAAGAGAGAGGATTTTAAGTTCCCTTAGCAGTATACCTTGATGTTAGCAAGCTTCAGAAATACTCCTTGAAAGATGTACTATTAACAAACATATCCAACACATTTGGGATTTATAAAAGGGGCATAATACAAGTTCAAGGACAATACTAAATCATTAAGATCATCTTTTAGTTGAAACCTACTTTTTTTCTCTCTAACTACTGATATGTAAAATACTATATAATTATGGAGTTACTGAATTTATCGGAATCTATTTTCTCTCTTTTTTGTTTGTTTGTTTGTTTGTTTTTAATTTTGCAAGCCTCTTTGTTGGTTAAAAAGAACTTATCTGAACTTCTTTTAGCTAATAGGTTCATTAATCTTTTCCAAATATTTCACAATTTGTCAAAATACAGTCATAAATGTTTAAATTCCCATCAAGTTTGTTCATATGGTTAGAAAATCCATATAGGAATTATGTTTCAATTTTATAAATACTATGGCATTATTGAGGGTAAAGGGCAAAAAAGATGTAGAGTCTTATAAATCCAGTTGTTTCTCCAGTCAATACTGTGCATGGATACTCTCAAATCAATGACATAATGTACAATTTTAATTGTTTTAAAAAATATATTGATTTTTTTTCAGATGTAAGTTGTAGCAAAGATTTGAAAAATAAAATTTTATCCTTGTTACTGTTTTAATTGTACCCAAGCAGTTCAGGCTGATGGAATATATCCTGAGCTGCCATAAGCCTCCATTCAATAAATGGGAAAATATTTACTGAAGAAACAGCTGTCATCCATATGTGGACTTTTGTCACTCTTTACTTAAAGTCTGATTGAATATTAAGATGCATCATCACAATGGTTCTGATTTTGACAAGAACAGCTTGCACGTAAGAACTTTGCTAGGAAGGCTGTGTAATATATTTTTGAATGTAGCTCTATTTGTATTTGTAGCAGATGGTTACTTGACTCAATCTGACTGCAGTGATGCTTCAAAAGACATTAGTAAAAGAAGTTGTATTTAAACTGATTTGTTTGGGTTGTTAGATAAGGGTAGTAAGAAAGAATTAGAAATTTACAAATATGCTAACAACATTCTTCTGGAATTCTGTTTAGAAATATATTTGCTTGCACGTTTTTCCCTGGATGTGCTAACTGCATTTCAGATTAGCCTTTAGACAGTCTTATCTGTCAAAAATGTTAAGAGGTGAAGCTATTGCATTTCTCCCCTCATTCTACCATCTTATCCTTCCCCATTCTTAAAAACAAAGACCCAGAGACCCCTTTTAAATAAAACTGTCAGTCTGAAATATATGTGAATGCCATCTCCCTTTCTGAATAGCAATGTGTTTTATGTTCTCAAGCTTCCTGTTTCTGTCATTACATGAAAAAACCATATTTTGTCATTTTTATCAAAGGAATTAGGAGTAGAAAACCCCCATATTGTTTGTGCTTATTCTCTGTAGGATGCCTTTGGGCCTAGTAACTGTTTAAATGTAATTTTGTCATGTATCATTTATCACAATAGGTTCTCTGGAATTTTTTGTTTGAGTTTGCTCTGTGCCTCTAACAGTTTTTCAATCATGAATCGTAGAAATCAGAGATAGCAGAGATCCACTCTTTTATCAATATAAACCAGTTTGTAATAGAATACTTTCATATATATCCTACTTTTCTCTTATTATCAGAAATTTGGCTAGGATTAATATGATACTATCTAGGATAGGAACAGTAGGTTTTTCCTTTAACTTCTACTTTTGGTCCTGCTCCATACTATTTTGAATAGTCAAGGCTAGAACAATTCTGCATGACCTACTAAAGGCGACACGTGCCACCAGTGAAATTTCTCCTACCTTTTCTTAATTGTATGGGTTGAATGATATATTTTTGGCTTGTTCTCTTGTAACTTTGGAAAACACTGGGATACATTAAAGTCAGACCTGATTCTTAGAGCTTGACCTTAATAGCATTAGAAATGGAAAGAGATTTGCCTTACCTCTTCAAAAGCAGCATTGAAAAAAAAAAAACAAAACAACTTTTAGTTGGCTATACTGTTAACTTTTACTTATAATAATGATAATGAAGTTGGTTTGGCAGTTTGGGAAAAATGTATTTTGGCAGATGTGTGGTACGATGTATAAAACCCAAACTCTCTAGAGTTATGTGAGATGAATAAACTGAGGGAGAGGGGAAATCATGAGAAACATCAGGAATTGCATATTTTCTAAGTATAATGTATACCATTTTTCTATATAGTTTGGATTTTTAACTTGTAAAGTATGAATGACAGAGTGTTTGTAGGATTTATTTGTGAATCTGTGACCCCATGTAAGGAGCCAGGGAAAAGACTATTATCATCTTTGTTCTCTGTAAGAGCAGGCCAAATGCCAGAAAGCAGAAGAGTGAAGATCAAGTCTTGGAGTTGAATGCACATAGGAGTGATTGACAGTATTTAAATAGTTAATAAACACTTCTCCATTACCTACCTGGATTCCTGCTGCTGGCAAAACTAATCATAGATGAAAAAATTAGAGATAGAATCAAAGTAAACAGCTATCAGGGAGTAGGATGGACTTATGAAATTCTAATCTAAGATGCTCTGTGAATTTGGGAAACCAGAAATGAGGTAGGTTTGCCCATGCCCATGAAAGGGGTTTTGTAACAGGGAGATCCTTGGGGTGATAACAGGTTTTTCAATTCTATTCAGTGGCTCCTACAGCAAGTCTCAGTTTCAAATGAGAGCCTGCACTCACTATTCACCTGTTACAGGACAGAATTGTTGCTGACCTTTGTCTGTTAACCTCCTCAAACTACACTGTGGGTTAATTAAATCTATAGACTACACCCCCACAACTAACTATTATCTATTAGTTTGTTGATTCAGATAGTTCTGAATTTGCTATAGGTTTGGACATTAGGAAGTATCTAAAGACATGCCACTATGTGTTCTTGTTCTCATCATGGAAGTATGATCTTGAAGAATATGTAATTCACGAGTATGTAATTCATGAATGCCCCTAAATTTCAAATATTCATATTCACATTTTTATAGGTTACAAATTGTGAGTCCTATCTTTTTGAGGAAGAACTATCCTCTACACATATCCATAAAAATGTTTCCTGAAAAGGATGTAAATTTAGTTTCCCTTAAAATCTTTTTGCATATTTCTCTTTATTAGAAGAAAACTTCAGAGACATATCTTGAAAGAAGTTGCTGTGGTTGATATCGAAGAGGTTACTACCTATGTTCTCCTCCAGGATTCTGATGGATTCCTGTCTCACATTGAGGTCTTTTATACATTTTGAGTTTATCTTTGTTTATGGTGTAAACATATAGCTGTCCAATTTTCCCAGCACCATTTATTGAGGAGACTGTCTTTTTTTCCACTCTATATTTTTTCCAGCTTTGTCTAAGATTATTTGACCATAGAGTTGAGGGTCCATATCTGGGCTCTCTACTCTGTTCCACTGGTCTATGTGCCTGTTTTTATGTGAGTACCATGCTGTCTTGGTGATCACAGCTTTGTAGTAAAGCTTGAAATCAGGTAATGTGATGCCCCCAGTTTTGTTTTCCTTTTTCAACATTTCCTTAGCAATTCGGGGTCTCTTCTGATTCCATACAAACTTTAGGATTATTTCCTCCAGCTCTTTGAAAAATACCAGTGGAATTTTGATCAGAATGGCATTAAAAGTATAGATTGCTCTAGGCAGTATAAACATTTTAACAATGTTTATTCTTCCTATCCAAGAGCATGGAATGATCTTCCATCTTTTTGTGTCTTCTTCAATTTCTTTCATGAGTGTTCTGTAGTTCCTCGAGTACAGATCCTTTACCTCTTTGTTTAGGTTTATTCCCAGGTATCTTATGGTTCTTGGTGCTATAGTAAATGGAATCAATTCTCTAATTTCCCTTTCTGTATTTTCATTGTTAGTGTATAAGAAAGCAACTGATTTCTGTACACTGACTTTGTATCCTGAATTGCTGAATTGCTGTCTGAGTTCTAGTAGTTTGGGGGTGGACTTTTTTTGGGTTTTCCATATAAAGTATCATGTCATCTGTGAAGAGAGAGTTTGACTTCTTCATTGCCAATTTGGATACCTTTTATTTCTCTTTGTTGTCTGATGGCTGTTGCTAGGACTTCTAATACTATGTTGAACAAGAGTGGTGAGAGTGGACATCTTTGTCGCATTCCTAATCTCAATGGGAAGGCTGTGAGCTTTTTCCCATTGAGGATGATATTTGTTGTGGGTCTTTCATAGATAGATTTTATGAAGTTCAGGAATGTTCCCTCTATCCCTATACTTTGAAGCGTTTTAATCAGGAACAGATGCTGGATTTTGTCAAATGCTTTTTCTGCATCAATTGAAAAGACCATGTGGTTCTTCTCTCTTCTCTTATTGATTTGTTCTATCACATTGATTGATTTGCGAATGTTGAAACATCCTTGTAACCCAGGGATGAATCCCACCTGGTCATGTTGGATAATCTTTTTAATGTGCTGTTGGATCCTATTTGCTAGGATCTTGTTGAGAATCTTAGCATCCATATTCATCAGTGATATTGGTCTGAAATTCTCCTTTTTGGTGGGGTCTTTGCCTGGTTTGGGGATCAGGGTAATGCTGACTTCATAAAATCAAGATCAAAAGCTTCTGCACAGCAAAGGAAACAGTCAACAAAACAAAGAGGCAACC